TTACACAGTTTGGAGAGGGAAAGCAGGGTTCTGACATGCAATGCAGCATTCTCTCTCTTATGTAAGATGACCCCAGTGGCATGTCATTTAGGTTAAGACACAGCATGTTCACTATGTAACCTTCTGTTCCCAGAACACTAAAGCCAAAGGGACTTTCCAGTCTCCACTGCTTCTTACCCTACACCCAAGCCCTGGCCTCTACACTCATCTGTAAACCTGTGTTCCCCTGACTCTTCCGTCCTAGGACAATTTGAAGACTAAGTACTATATCACATGCAACTAGCCTTATTGCTATTATGTATTTTTCCCCCTCTCCTCTGCCAACTTTCTTTTATGACTGGCCCAGAAAATTGAAAGAAATTGCTCATAGCCTTTCCTTAAGACATTTGCTTAAAAATAGGGTTGTATTTGAAAAGAAAAAATGTCAACTGAAAAACATCCTGACAGAAAGACGTTGTAGACAATTAACAGCAAGAGCGAGTCTGCAGTGGCGTACAAACACAATCTGCAATTTTGACCAAGAAAGACAGCAATGATCAGGTTTTCTTTCACTTCCTAGTAACAAACTGCATGGAGCAGCTTGCTTACGAACTTGGGAGCAAGTCTCTTCCCAGCGGCGGGACTTGGTTTGGACCCTGCCAGAGCCCCTTGGGAACTGCCCTCAAAAACAAAAACAAAAAATCTTGTGTTTATGTGAGGTTCATTTAGGAACTCAGCTGCCCTTGCTTGGTCTCCTCTAAATGTTCACTCGCTTGCTTCCCCATCATGGCTGTTCAGATGGCCCAGGTCTATAGGGCTGGGGCTGGGGCTTGCCCTTCAAAAAATTTGCTGCAGGTTTTCCTTGTGCTGCTTGGAGAGAGGATCAGTCTATCTGCCATCCTTTGGTCTCTTTCACTGTGCCCCGATGAGTCTCAGGAGCTGTTATTCGCCTGCAGCGCTTCTCATGCATTATGAGGTTGTGTGTTTGATGTGGGAGACTGACCTGTCACTTAGTCTCAAAACATTCTTTGTGCAAGTTGTGCAAAAATATGAAGATGGTTTCAGTTTATTAAGGCACCCAGTGCTGTTTTTTGGGAGGTCTTTGGGAATTCTTGAGAGAGGACTGAAGCTGAAGAAACAGAAGGGATGTGTGCGGAATGAAGACTGCCTTAAAGGATGATGTTTGCCTGACTCTGCTGCTGCTTTTATCCCTTAGGCAACTCTGGGAAGATTCAGCCCTCCTGTGTGTGTGTGTGTGTGTGTTTTCAATTGAGATAATACTGGTTGACAACACTTATGAGATTCAGAGATATAGGGTCACACTTATGTATGTTACCACACCCCAGCCACCTCCAAGGCTCCCTATAGTCCTCCACTGTAGTCACAGTGCTCCCTCTGCCTCCTACTCTGCCCCTCCCCCTTTCTGCATTATCTCTGCCAGCATTTGAGAGCCTGTGCTTGTCATTGTATGTGAGAAACAGAAGATTCCAGGTGATAGAGCCCTTTAAGGTTCTATACTATTTAAGTCTCTCCATCTTCTGTCCATGAATGAAAGAGACAGCTTGGACTTTGGTCTCTCTCTTAACCAGCTATTGACTGGGCACACACTTCACCTCTCTCAACTGCCTTTTGCTCATTTGTGAAGTGAGGGTTGGGCTGGCTTATCTCAGAAGTGTTTTTCCATTTAAAGTTTTGAGTCTGTGGTTACTTCCTTTTCTTCATCAACAGCTCCTACAGAAGTCTGTTTACTTGACATTTCTGATATAGGCATAAAATCTGAGCTTCACTAAATTGGAATATATTTAGTTTCCCAGGTTTGGACATGGGAAACCATAGAGACATCCAAGCCATCAAATGATGCTCAGATTCTGGGTGACTATGGATTTAACCAGCACCTGAGTCTAAGTGGACTCAGCTCTAAGTGGGGTCGGATGCAGATTATACCCTGCACAAGTATTAGTGCAGTTTTACTTCTGTGAGCTCTAACCATTTTAGCAAAGGAGCAAAAAGAGAGGCCAGAATAGATGCTGGCCATTGATGAGATGGAAGGAGAATTTTCTAATTATTGCCTCATCATATTTCATACAATTCCAAATCTGCAAGTCTGTGCCTAAGATGTTTCCCAGATCCCATACCTGTGAAGTCCATCTTATTCAGGTAGCTTCAAAAGGCAAGATTAGTAAAAATAATAAAACGCCTCACATTTTAAGGAGACTTGCAATTTATGTGATGCATTTAATGGCCTTTCTTTACATCTTGATTATGATTCTAACCATTCTATCCTGGGTGAGTAATAATTTTCTCAACTTTAAATGTTAGGGAATGAAGCTGAGAGATTCAAAGACTTGTTCAAGGTCAACCAGTAAATGGTCAAAGCAAGAATTAAACTCATATCTATCTAGTTCCCAAGTTCAGGGTTTTTTTCTGTTTACACCACGTCACGTAAGATCTAGGCCTTGGCAGTTAGACCTAAAGAACTACTCTATAGAGCTTTGCAGTTAGTCTGAGGAAGTCATCCCTCTCATTGGCACTAAGGGGGGACTCTCCCACACACGTGTAATAACTAGACTTGGGGTGTGAGCTCTGGCAAGGTTTTAGCAGATCTAACTACAGTATTCATTTTTCACATGGGGGACTGATTCCTAGGGATTCCCTTGTTTGATTAAATGTACTATTGCTGTGTTATTGACTCAAAATTCTCTCCACTCCTTTTTTAGGTATGACCCTGCAAGGCATCTTCAGAAAGCCCTTGGGAGTCTAGAGTCATCTGGATGTCACCATATAATGTGAAAACAGTACCAGTAGATCACTACCAACAAATCCAGGACTCCCAGCATCGACAGGGTTGCTTAGTTGCCCGCAGCACTGCTTTGATGTGTAACATCTGGATGGTAAGTTCGAGCTGCCTCCACCTTTCTTGGAGTTCCAGAGCTGCATATTACTGTTCACCAACTACTTCCACCTGGACCGCTCTTGGGTCCATCCAACTTAGAGTTAAGTATTAACCTTCTTCTCACACAATTTGCTTCCCAAATCCCAGTCTTTCCCTGGCTCATATGATCTCTGTTGTGTGCATCTAAGACATTTCTGCATCCCCAGCTCAGTCTCTTCTCATCATTCTCTGTTCTTCTCATCCCTACTTCATCTCATCTACTTGGTCACCAGGTATTTCTGACTTTATTCCCTAAACACCACTAACATTCATTTCTTTTCCTCAGTTCCCTCTGCCATTTTCTTATTTGAGGTTTTTCCATATCTCTGCTTCCCAAACTCCCCATATCAGCCTCCAGGTGGCCTTTAGTTCTCTCTCCAAACACAAATCTAACTGTGCCCTTTCCTGCTTAAAAACCAAAGGTGTGTTCCCACCGCTACAGGAGAGAGAGCTCGCCACTCCTTGGGATAGTAGTGTGAACCTTTCCTCTGCCTGAAATACCGTTTCCCTGGGAACTCGTAATCACTTCAACATCCTCTTCACCCATCACTTCTGCAGTGTTGACTGCCTAGATAAGCCCCAGGGGAATTTATCACACCCTCCTTTGGGTTGTTTCAGTGTTCTGTTGCTGCTGCTGTTGTGATGAAAATTATTCTGAACTATAGCATGTTTTTGTCTGTCTCATTTGCCAGACCGAGGCAGAAACTGTCCTGTTATCTTTGGGCTCCAAGGTCCTGGCATACTGCACAGCACATGGGTGCAGTAACTGTTGACTGGATGGATAGGATGGGTGGCCTTGCCTTGGATGTCATCCAGCTTGTGGAGAGATCATCATTCTCTCAAGTTTAGTCTTCAGGCAAAAGGGCAGACCTCATGCTCTTGTTACTCCAGTTCCACAGGCAAAATATTGGCAAAGTGTGGAGGCTGGAGAAACTCTGGTTTTGCAGCATCTTTTTCCCTAAAACTGTGTCTGGGGTGAGAATGGGGAGCCACAATTGCAGAGAAAATGAAAGACTTGATCAGATTAACCAATATAGCTGCTGCCCTAGCCAGCCCTGTGTTAAGGGAAGGCACATCAGAGGAGAAGGGATATGGTCAGACCCTTGCTAAATTCTGTAGGTAGAACTTGCAGACCCTTTTCATAAAAGAGCTGATCACAATATGCTGTTTTTAAGTCCCGCTCCTTCTAATAATACTCTCCCATTGGCCAGCAGGTCTTCCACGTGAGCCAAAACACCTTAAAATTAGTTTGAGGTGGAAGAACCTTTGAATTTTAGCTGAGTGAATGAAACACAGCAGCTTGGGAAGGTGCAGAAACGGCTCTTTCTCATTCAACAGAATCTTGGAACTTCTGCAAGGTAGTAGGCTGCTGCTGGCAGCATTCACTGTGAAATTAGGGCAGTGCTTGTCTGTGCTTCAGTTTCCCTTTCGGTTAAGGTTAGGCAGGACTGATCTTCCCACTAAAGTTTATCTAACTGCTCTTACATAATGTATTCCTCTGAAGTTCTTCAAAATGTCAGGGAAACAGATCTTTGGTGTCCTCCAGGACACCTCATAGGTGGGGTGGGGGACTAGAAATGGGACTTTGAGAGTCAAGTAAGGAGTTTTGGCTCACCACCGCAGTGTGCTGGGAGCTTGGGGGAGTGCTGAAAGGGTCCCATTCCACTCTCGGCTCCAGGCCATCTTTTCATTTTGGCCTCTTTCTTAGCCCCAGTGACAGCTTGACTTCCCATAGAATAATTTAGAAGCATCCTAGCCCTCGTGCTTTTTGGAAGCCTTAGGCTTTGACTTTTTCTGTAGCAAAAAGACTATCCATCTGTCTTTCAAACTGCTCCTGCTGGCAGTTGGTGTGAGTCTACTGGGGCGAGAAAACTCCACCTCAGCCCCCTAAAACACTGCAAACTCAGCCTGCAAGCCAAGGTGAGACAGTTAAGAAACTGAGCAATGGGGGTGGGGAGTGGGGGTGGGGAACACATTAGAGATGGAAGAGAGGCTACTTGGAAACAGCCTGTTAATATCACTTATTTTTAGGAGGGCAGTTTAACATATATTTTAAAACATACACGATCACAAACGTGTTGAGACTCACCTTTCAGTCCTCCGGAAGGCTTCCTGCAGGCGCGGCGGCAAGCGATCAGCGGGAGTGTCCCGTGCGCCGGCGACAGAACAGCGGCACAAGAGCCACTTTCTTTTAGGGGAGCCCCTCGTGTCCCACGCGGAGCCAGTCGGGACTGAACAGCACAGCCCGCTGGCGCCGCGCGCGTACCTGCGACTCGCTAGGGAAAAGGCGCCCTCTGTGTTCCCTCTTCTCCCCGCCAGCCAACGCCTCGCATTTTTGAGGTTTCACTGCAACTCTATCCTGCCCTTAAGTCACTCAACTTTCTGAATCAACCTCTCTCGCTCTCGCTGCCTGGGACGGGCCATCCAGGCTCGGTGGAGCGCGGGGTGCCCTCGATTTGGGCGCACACGCCCCAAACGTGCCCTCCCTCTCTGTCTTCACGCCGGTTACCCCCACCCCCAGCCCCCGCCATTACGTGTCGGTGCCCCCCTCCGTCCCGGAACACGCCTCCTTTGGGACTTAGCCGCTAGGGCAGAGTCAGCCTAGTTTCTGTAACAGAAGTTTTACAGGCTCATGGCAGTTCGCAGGGACAGGACTGGGAAAATGGGCTTACACAGTCAGTAGCCTTCTTGAAAAGGGGGAGGTAAATTTTGGGAGGGAGACCACCGGGCAGACTGGATGAAGGTTCCAGTGGCATCTGGACTCCCCTAAGGCAGCCCCTCATGCCCAGGTGGAGGGCACATAGCATCTCCCAGAGTCTTCCTGTGCTCACTGAAGGCTTTAAGGAGCACTGCTTACCACCCGGGACTGTGGACGCAGAGCTGCAGGGAAAACTGCCTTCAAGATGTTCTCAGAGCTTCTTCCCTTCTCACCCTCCCTTGCTCACCATCAGTTTACTTGTGGGTGGTCCAGTCTTCAGCACCTGGAATGCTGCTAAAGGAAAGAGCCAGTAACCATGTTGTTGGGTTACAAATTCCAGACGCCATGCAACTGATGACCCAGGCAGGGAGCTTGTGCGAGGGTACTTGGGTGGGCAAGGGGGTGATGCCAGGCCCTGGTCCTCATCAGATACACACCAGGAGGTCCTTCCAAAACATGGGCCTGAGAGGCTACCCTCTTGACTGTATGCCCGGCACCGGTGCTGAGCTGGTCTAGCTCTCCATCTACTGTGCTTGAGTGCTGGTGTCCTGTGGCCTCTGTGTGTGGATATCAGGATGATCAGTGCAGTCAACTGTTTTCAGCTGTGGAATAAGAGATTCCTTTCTCTTAGTGCAGGAGAACCAAATGACCCAAAGAGAAACGCAGCACACTGATGAGAAATATCAAGGATGAGTAAAAGAAAAAAATGTTCTTCCCCCCAACAGAAGGAGATTAGATCTTCTTCATGGAAATTTAAGTGGAATGAACTCAGCCTGTATTTGTATAAGAAGGGGGAATGTGGGCTCCAGAAGAAAGTGGGCAAATGAGTGGTCAGGTAGGGAGGACACAGGAATTGGAAGATGGGTTTGAAAGACTGCTTGGGAGCATTGAGACTTAAGTAGAAGTGTTTTGCCCAAGCCAGAAATGCTTCACCTGTAATCACACTTTAGCCTGTCATTGTCTACCTATGTCAAGTTGGTTCCTCCCAAGATTGTGGGGGTACTGTCACAAGGCCCCAAATGCTGCAAATGGCCACTTTCGACATTAAGGCAGGAACTTCAGACAAATGTGTCTTTCACAATACACTTATGAGATGTTGTATTATCTTTTCCTACAATTGAAGAATCTGGGATTCAAAGAAGTTAAATAATCTTTTCAAAGTCACATATCAAATAGATGGTGGAGCCCAGATGTGAGTTCCAGGGTTTCCAACCTCCGGCTCATCCCTTTACCACTATATCATCAAGTAGAACAAGGGATCACTTTCTCTGAAGGAATTCCCACTTCTGCAGAGTACTATTCAGGCCTAGAGGACTGTTGAAGGAAGTTCTCTGGAAAGTACTTTCCTGGAAATCCAGAGCACCATTACAGTTTGACTTTGGCTTAAGTGATGATTCTTTAGGGATGCTTTTAAGAGAAAATAGGGAAGAACTAACCAAAAACAAGGGAATTAATTCATTTATGCTCAGGACTTCATGGACTTGGCTTTCAAAGTGGGAAGAGTCAGAGGCACAGAAAGCAGAAGGTGGTAGTATCTCTGTGATGTCTCAGGTAGTAAGAGTGGAAAGTAAGTGGCTTTTATGGTGGAGAAACTAGTGCCTTATGGGTGGGCAAGATGGTGAGTTTGCCCCCCTTAGATTGCCAAGGCCACAGAGGCTTTGGACGGACAGAAACTACTAGGAAGATGCAATTATGGCAGAAGAAAGAGAGTGTGGTCTGGCCAGGATGTTCTCATTCTGGGTGGATGATGCATCCTTTATGAAAACGCAGGTTAGAGCATTCACCTACTATTTTATTCTCTTGGCAATGAAATCCCAACTTCAATGAACTCATGAATGCCCGAGGCAACCAAAGAGCTGTTACATTTTACATAGTCATTATCATTTTTCATGTTTTCATAAGGATATGTCAAGGTGGTCAAGAGCTTAGGAGGCACCAAATGAAGTGAAAGAGCATTTTCACAGCTAATTAAAAAAGAAGCTGAGATACGAAGATTTGTGAGCCTTCCCCTACTAACTTTAGCATCAGCTGAACTCTCGTTCCATATCAGTGTGTTGGGGCAAGAGATGCTGTGTCCGTCATAGAGTGTTGTGTGAACCAGTGGGGGTACTTAATAGAGGACCTTACTGTGATATGAGGGAAAGGGCTGACTGTCCTTGCCTTTCTTTCTTGGGCATGCCCTAGTGCAGGCAGACTGACTTGCTTGCTTGGCTAGCATCGCTCTACCTTTCACTGTTTGAAGACACTTATCCATCCGTTTGCAAAGTCCTTGAGTCTAGAAGCATTGTCAGATGTATTGTGTTTGTACCCAGGATAGTGGTGCCCCCTGAGCAAACATAATTTTTAGGAATGGAAAATTCTTAAAATGAGAACATTGTCTTCCTCACATCTGAAACTGTGGTGTATTCTCGCCGATGACATTGGATACCGGGTGAAGATCTAGAAGCATAAACAGGGATAAAGAAGTTTTCTGAGTGGCAGACTGGATGCTTTGAGAATCCGACTGGAAGTCATAAGGGCTGCTGACAAGGCGCAGGCTGTTAGGAGGAAATGATGAGCCTATAAATGGTGTGGATAAGATGAGCACAGACTTGTTCACCAGATCCTGAAATATAACAGTGCCTTGGAACCACGAGGGAGGCAAGTTCAGGACAAGTCAGAGGAAATGCTATACCACGCAGTAGGTAATGAATTTATGGAATGGTTTCTCTCCCAGAGGTGGCACAAACTTGCAACATAAATGGATTCTGGAAGGGTTTGGACAGACCTGTGAATGACAGAGCTGTAAAAGGAGAGCCGTGGGAAGATGAGATATAGTTTGTGGTCGGCAGTTGGGGGGGGGGCAGCAGGGTCTTACATAACCATATGTGGGGTCATTATGGCCAGAGACCTGCTCACCAGAGAACTTGGGTTTGAGACAGTGGTCAGGGCGAACACTAGCTCCCTAACTCTACATGCTCTGTGGCCCCTGCCTTGCGAAGGCAGTGAAGCCTTGTTCTTTTTACCTTCGCCAAGTATTTTCTGCAGTTGTTGTCTTTTCAGTTTCATGTGTATTCAGTTTTAGCAGGCTATCCAAAAAGACAGCAAGCTTTCCAGCTTAATTATAGCCATCCTACGAAATTCCTCTGCACCCCCTCCACCATAGCGCTTTTCAAATGCATAGCTTTTTCATTTGGCTGTGGACTTCTAAACAGATTTTGAGAACTTGTTTTCATACCAGTTATATTTATTTCTTGCGGTTAGATTTCTGTTCAGACCTTCCCTCTTAAACTGTCTAATTCTGACAGAAAGTACTCTCATTATGAAAGCGCCTCTAAAAAGAGCAATGACAATATACTTTTCCTGGGAGCTCGCTTCAGTGCTACATCCAAAATGTCTTCAGTGCTGCACTTAGGATGCCAGAACTGTCTGTTGCTCTAAATCTTGGCATTGGGCAAGTTTAGGAAACGCTTGGATGTCTTCTGAGTAATCAGGCGTGCTCCTCAGTCCCCCTTCCTTCATGTCTTTACTCTGTGCACTCTGCGCTTTCTTCAGGCTCCTGCTCTTGGAAGTTCTTGAGATGAATCACCTTGTTCCATGCCTTCCAGTAGTGGGATTGGTGAGGGGGGTGGGGGGTGTGCTTGGAAGGCCTTTTGTTTGCCTCTCTGGGGCACAGGGGGCTCAGTTTTCATTTTCTGTTTCTGGCTCACAGTCCCCCAGAGTTGAAACTATTTTTACAGTGCTGTCACTGGCCATTATAAAGTGGCTGGCACTACTGCTCAGCCCTCTCTGTTGGGATTCAGCGTTTGCTTTGTTCAAATGTAAACAGTGGGCTGCTGGATTCCGTTTTTCTGGGCAAGGGTCTCGGAGTAGGAGGTAAACCCACAGAGCTCTTATTTTACCACTCTGTGTTTCCCCTTGTCTTCTGCTCTGCTCCCGGGTTGGCTTTGCATATCGACTTGTTGAGGCAGCCCCTTGTGTGGGGTTCACGGAGCATTTATATGGTCTAGGTAAACATTCCTTGCCACTCTGTCAGAGAGACTCCTGGGAAACCCCAGCCTGTCCTGCCCTGCACACTCATTCTGACAGAAGTTTGTGAAGGCTGAAATTCTTCATCCCTCTTGCCTGAAGGCTCACAAAATAACCATGGCTTTGAAATTTACTTCCTGAACTAGTTGAGTGACTCAGAACATCAATGTTGCCACACACTTCCTCTCTCTAAGCTGCCGCTTTCATAACAGGTAAAAGGAAGGGCTGATAAAAGCATAAAATAATGGGGTGACCAGTCTTCATCCACTAAAGTGGAAATACACTCACCCCCTCTCTCTAGTTCAACTTCCACTGACTTACTGCTTTCCTTGTGCCAGGCACTATGATAAACAGTTTATCCTCATTGCTGTTAAATTTCTAATAACACTGTGAAGTGCTCCTATACCAATATAATAACTGAGAAAACTGAGATTTGGGAAAAAAATATGTCAGTGAT